CGCTCTGTCGACTCTGGTTCCTTTCCTGCCCTCGCTTTCGTGGCTTCTTCTCAAGTACCAGGAATTGGGCGGGGAAAAGTGATGTCCGTATTACTTCAATCACATATAGGTCCACTGTTGCTACCACTCAGACATGACGGCATCTGAGCCGAAACTAACTAGTCCAAGTTATGATCCCCCTAGGGCTCCAATACGGCTCCAACATACACCCAGCTTATGATGACATCTTGACCTTTCAGCGTATCGCTGCGCTCACGTGCAGGCCATGACGACCATCATGCTTGTTGCCGACAAGCTCTTCCCGTTTGGACAACGACGCCCCGACGAAGTTGGACCGTACGCAGGGAACTTTTCTGAGGTCCGAGGGGTCCACACCCTGGCATGGGCACCGTCGGCGAGGACATGCAAAGCAGCATTTTGTGTTGGCGTGGAGCACTTCATCAATGTTGTCTAATCTTCTAACTTTGAACCCTTTCCCGACCCACAAACCCAACATACAGGATGGACTTCACCGCGGAGTTCAACAGAGAAGTTGATGCTATCCGTGAAGACAAGCGATGCGGCGGCCTCAACGCAGACCTGCTGAACAAGGACAAGACGCGCATGCTGCAGTTTATTGCTCCTCTCGACGTCTTCGAGAAAGTGATTTGTTTCCTGCTGCGACGTGCCGGCATGGGGATTGACGACGCATCACATGCTGGCGAAGACATGGTGCGTCTCATAGCCTCGATCGACACTGATGAGCTGCTCCAGTCATTCAAGCCTTCCCTTGTCTGTCCTTTGGCTACTCAGAACTCCATTGATGGAGCCGTGGCCTTGACCAAGTGGTTCCGGCGCATCCAGCACCTGTCCTTCAACGCTCCTGCCGAGATCCAGAAGTTTCGAAATGCTCGCCAGGACATGGTGCAGCCTGTGCCACAGCCAACCATGGACACCGCGGTTGCTCTGCTTGCGGAGTGCTCCATGGCAACCTTTGACCCCGTCGCTTTCTTGGAGGCTTCAGCCAAAGACAAAGCTCATTTGCTGCGCTTTGCTCAGGACCCTTTTTCCTCCGTGGCAGAAGTGAAGACAAGACTGTTTGAGCTGCTCCTGCTGTGTTTTCTTGGGTTCATCGCCATCTCTGACAGTGGCCGTTGGAGCCTGATCCAGTATGCGGCCGACGACGAGGAGTTCCTCAAAGCTGTTGAACGACTGCAGGCCCCTCATGCGCGCATGTCACACACAGTCCTTATTTCAGTCTGCACGTGATATTAGCGTCAACATTGTTAGCTCTTTCGCAACAGGGGTCAGCCCGCACACACACACACACACATAAAGACACGTAGATATATATATATATA